CCCCCTTTTCGGCACTTGATGTATGTATATGTATAAATGATGTCGTCCCACTGTCTAATGATTACATGAACTATTATGCGGGTGTGTTGCTTATGTATGCATTCGGCCATTTTTAGGGTCTGTGTGAAAAGCAACCGATGAAGACTTTTGTGTTGACGTCTATCTACCATGCAAGGTGGGAAAAAGTTAAACAAAATGGTAAACCGAGACGCCTTTTGTGAGAGAAAGCCCGCAAATCTTTTATTTTTCCAGCCAGAACATGCCATGGGTAAAAGGTATCGTCGCAATCGTTGAAAGCATGTGCACACACACACGAAGTAGCAGCCATGAGAGAAAAATCGCCCTGCGGCCCCTCATTCCTCCCCCTATAATTCCACCACCTTACTTTACGCCCGTCCAGGGACTCGTCCCGAGGAACCCAGACGCGCCGGACCCAAACCCTGACGCACCTCATCCAGCATGCGGATGCCGATGGCCTCGTTGCCGTGCTTACCGCGCTTGTACTTGACACCCTTGCGCTTGGCCTGGGACCCGGTGTTGTCGTCCCAGCCGGCGAGGAAGTCATCCATGACCGAGGTGAAGTTGTGGCGGGGGTTGACCGTCTGCCCGTTGGCATCGACCAGACTGGGGGCCTCGGAGATGGCCGACATGCCGGTCATGGCAGTCATGCCGGTCATGCCACTGACCATGGACATGCTGTCGTCGAACTCATCCTCCTCGTCCAGCGCATACAGCTGCTCCACGCGATCGAAGCGATCGTCCAGCAGCCGGTGGCCCTCGGTGCGCGCCAGGGCCGACGAGGTCATCGAGTACGCCGAGGGGTTCGTCAGGGCACCCTTGCGCTTCTTGCGACGGATCGGCGTGCCGCCGACCGTGAACACCGTCGACGCCAGCGTGCTCTGCTGCTCGGAGGGCACGACACTCGGGGCGGCGGCGGGCACGGCGGGCTTGGCGACGCCGGCCTTGACGTCCTTCTTGAACTTGGCGAACTCGCGCATCCAGCCCTGATCCTCGGGGTGCATGTCCGGCGCCGGGGCGTCGTGTTCCGGCATCATCTCCTCCGCATCGCCGCCGGCCCCGGCTGCAGCTCGTTTCTCGTACTGCGCCTTGGCGGCCGTCGTGTCCGTCTGCACGGGCGCCTTCTCCGTCGCGTCCGACTCCCACCCCTCATCATCTTCTTCGTCGAACTCATCGTACAGCGTATCCTCCCAGTCACCCTGGTCCATCTCCTCCGCCCGCGTGGTCAGCTGCCCGAACAGATCGTCATCGTCCGCCTCGTCGACGTACTCCTCATCCTCCAGCGCCTCCAGCACCTCGCGCAGCCGCGGGTCCATGTTCGGCTGGAAGCCCGCGATCGCATCCGGCACGTTCTGCTGGTCCTGGTAGGTCGGCTTCCGCGAGAACGCCGTCGCCGTCGACCGCATCTCGCTGGGCGCGTAGCTACCCCCGAACTCACTACCCTGCCCGTCGTCTAGCGACACCTGCCGCAGCGCATCCTCCAGCTTCATTTTGCCCTTGTTGTTGTTGCCTGAGGCGGCCTGGTTGTTCTTGGCCTCGACGAAGTGCGCGTCCCCGGCGCCCGTTCCCAGCTCCCGCAGGTGCTGCATGTAATCATATTTGGTGTCGTCGTAGAAAATGCCGTAGTTGGCCGCCTCGCCTTCGTTCTTGCGGACGGCGCCGGGGCCGAATTGCTGGGTCAGCGTCGCCAGGTTCTGGCCCCGGTGGGCGTCGGCGGCGGCGCTGCTGCTGGTAGGGGCAGGGCCGGACACCGGAGCGAGCACGCGGTCGTCGGCGCCGGGATCGTGGATGAGAGGGTCATGTTGGGAGCGGTGGAAGAGTTGGTAGGTGGTTGCGTTTTTCTTGTCGCTGGAGATTGGTGGGTTAGTGCTTGGATTAACCAGTCCCATACAGGGGGGGAAAGACTTACATCCACTGCTTCCGGGGAGGCATTTTGAGTGGTAGGTCGTCCGAGGACAAGCGTTGGAATTGGGATGATTGGAAAATAATCCGAAGATGCAGCTTTGGGCGTTGGGCGAAAATTCAAGAAATTCGTGGGGGAGATAAAGTCACGTGGGTGTGCTTATCGAGGACCCGGTGGGTGCGCAATGCGATGGGCTCTATACAAACACACGCTGTAGACTACAGGAGATGTAGTGGTCTTGAGATGTTGATGTAGGACTCAATCCTCCAATTGAACTTTCGGTCTGCTTTTCTCAGCATTCGACTTCCACAATTGTTGCCGATGCTGCAGAGACCAAAAAAAAAAAAAAAAAAAAAAAAAAAAAAAAAAGAGGGGAAAAACAGCTCAGTGCTGAGTCAGCCTTATCTTATCCGCGCGGGGCAAATCTGATTGGGCCAAAACCCGCAAGTGGGATTAATTCTTCTTCTTTTCTCTTCACTTCACCTTTACAAATCATCCTGCAATTAATCTTCCCCCTCCTCAACTACATCTACCCCTACCCTTTTGCCCTTCTCCTTTTCCCTCTACCCTCCCTTTCCTTCTATACCTCTTTCCTTTCCTTCCTCTCCCTTATCTCCCTCCTCTGAACTGCTCCGCAGTCACCCTTCGCCACCATGGTGTTGGCCAAATCCAAGAACGCCGTGGGGCTGGGCAACAGCCTCATGAAGGACCGGTTTGGCAAAGGCAAGGCCTCGAACCAGAAGAAGGCCTCGCACAACGCCGGCATCGTCCGCAAGGACATGAACGGCGACACCTACGTCACCAACGCGCAGCAGGACGCCTCGTGGGTCAAGATGCGCAGTATCACCGAGCAGGCGGCGCTGGACGAGTTCCTGAGCACCGCCGAGCTGGCGGGCACCGACTTCACCGCCGAGAAGATGAACAACGTTAAGATCATCCACGCCGACCAGAAGAACCCCTACCTGCTGTCCGCCTCCGAGGAGAAGTCCGCCATCACCAAGCACCGCCAGAACCGCGGCCGGCTGACCGTGCCGCGCCGCCCCCAGTGGGACGCCTCCACCACCCGCCAGCAGCTGGAGCAGCTGGAGAAGGAGAGCTTCCTGTCCTGGCGCCGCGGCCTGGCCGAGCTGCAGGAGAACCAGGACCTGCTGATGACCCCCTTCGAGCGCAACCTGGAGGTCTGGCGCCAGCTGTGGCGTGTCATCGAGCGCTCCGACCTCGTCGTCCAGATCGTCGACGCCCGGAACCCCCTGCACTTCCGCTCGGAGGATCTCGAGGCCTACGTCAAGGAGCTCGACCCCCGGAAGCAGAACCTGCTGTTGGTGAACAAGGCCGATATGTTGACGGAGAAGCAGCGGGTTATGTGGGCGGACTACTTCGATCGCCATAATATCAGTTTCCGGTTCTTCTCGGCGCACCTGGCCAAGGAGCAGAACGAGGCCCGTCTCCTCGCGGAAGGGTCTGGATCGGAGAGCGACAGCGAATCTGATGAGGAGGAGCAGCAGCAGGAGCAGGATTTGGCGAAGAACACCCAGGCCATGAACATACAGGACGGCGAAGCGCAGCGGGAAGAACATGACGGCGGATTGGAGCTGCCTTCTTCGTCCGCCAGCAAGCTAACGGAGATTCTCAACGTGGACGAGCTGGAGGAGCTCTTCCTGTCCAACACGCCCGACACCCTCCCCGACAACAACACGGCCGACGGCGAGCCCATCAAGCGGAAGACGACCATCGGACTGGTCGGATACCCCAACGTGGGTAAATCCAGCACGATCAACGCGCTCCTGGGCGCCAAAAAGGTGTCCGTGTCGGCCACCCCCGGTAAGACCAAGCACTTTCAGACGCTGTACCTGTCGCCGGAGATCATGCTGTGCGATTGTCCCGGTCTGGTGTTCCCCAACTTCGCGACCACCAAGGCCGATCTCGTGGTCAACGGTGTCCTCCCCATCGACCAGCAGCGCGAGTTCACAGGGCCGGCCTCGCTGGTCGCCCAGCGCATCCCCAAGCACTTCCTCGAGAACGTCTACGGCGTCAAGATCCTCATGCGCTCCGTCGAGGAAGGCGGCACGGGTACCCCGACCGGCAGCGAGGTGCTGCGCGCCTACGCCCGCGCCCGCGGCTTCTCCACGCAGGGTTTGGGCCAGCCCGACGAGTCGCGCGCCGCCCGCTACGTGCTGAAGGACTACGTCAACGGCAAGCTCCTCTTCTGCCACCCGCCCCCGGTCGACGACGGCGGCGCGCCCATCGACCCCGCCGAGTTCAACAAGGAGCTCTACGACCTGGCCCACCTGCCGGAGCGCCGACAGGCCCAGCTCGCCAAGATGATGGCGGCCGACCCCCTGGGCGCCAACGTCGACCCGGAGACCCTCTCCCTCCTCGGCGTCACCGGCACCAAGCAGCAGCCCGTGCAGGGCTCGCTCGCCCGCAACCTGGACAGCGGCTTCTTCGGCCCCGGCGCCTCCTCCTCCCGCGGCCAGATGATGCTCCCCTTCAACTCGCAGTACACCGAACAGGGCCAGCAGATGCGCAAGCAGCTGACCGGCCGCAAGGAGCGCATGATGGTCGCCCTGGAGCGCGGCATGGACGTCTCCGAGGTGCGCAGCGCCAACTCGAAGAAACACTTCAAGGCCAACAAGAAGCGGGCCAAGAAGGTGCGCAAAAATGGTGCCACTGAAGATGATTATTAAGTGGTGGCTCCGGCTTTGTTTCCTTTTGGCTTCTGGTTGACTCGCGGGCGAGTGCGGACGTTGATGATCTTGTGTGTGTCTGTGGTATTGGATTTGGATGAATCATGAAATGAACACAAAAGCTGTGGGGTGGGGGTTCCTTTCTTAATTTCTTATATCCCGGTATAAACTACATCTGTCTGCGGTTTTCTTCTTGTTTATGTTATCATGGTCTATGGGTTTTCGTTATTACTTCGTGCATGGGGAATGAGGCTATGAAATCTTACATACATTTCCGATATACCTTGACCCCATGGAGTTCTTCCTGGTTTTCCTGAGTATTTGCAAAAGGTATCAACCTACTTCATTCAACCAAATATGCGAGTAGAGCAAACAAACATGAGAACCCAAAACTACAACCGGCCCTTAATCTTCAACCCGGTCTGGCTCAGCAACCTCTCGCCCTCGCCGCGCTGCCAGTCCAACTTCTGGCGGATCTCGGCCTTGCGGTCGCGGTTCTCGCGCTTCCCGAGCTGCTGCAGATGCACCTCGTCGGGCCCGTCGGCGATGCGCAGCGTCCGGATCAGGGCCCACATGTACGCGAGGGGGGTATCCTGGCAGACGCCGGCGGCGCCGTAGGCCTGGACGGCGCGGTCGATGACGGCGAGGGCGGTCTGGGGGACGAGGACCTTGGCCTGGGCGATCTCGCGGAGGGCGGACTTGGCGTCGCCGAGGTCGATCTTGATGGCGGCGTTGAGGACGACGAGGCGGGCGGCGTCGATCTCGATGCGCGAGCGGGCGACCCACTCGAGGATGACGCCGTGGCTGGCCAGGGGCCGGCCGAAGGTCTGCTTGCGGTCGTCGTTGATGCGCGCGATCAGCCACTCCAGCGCCTTCTCGGCGGCGCCGATCGTGCGCATCGCGTGGTGGATGCGGCCCGGCCCCAGCCGGCCCTGGATGATCTCGAACCCGCGGCCCTCGCCCAGGACCAGGTTGGCCGCGGGCACCCGCACGTTCTCGAAGCTGATGTGCCCGTGGCCGTGCGGCGCGTCGTCGTACCCGTACACCGTCAGCATCCGGTGCACCGTGATCCCCGGCGTGTGCGCCGGCACCAGGATCACGGATTGCTGCTTGTAGGGGTCCGGGTGGTCGGGCGCGGATTTGCCCATCACCAGGTAGATGGCGCAGCGGGGGTCGCCGGCGCCGGAGGACCACCATTTCTTTTATGAAATGGTGGTACAGTCAGTTTTTGGCCATGTGGTGGTGGTGATGATGATGATGATGACAGTAAGAAACATACCGATCCGTTCAAGACATACTCATCCCCTTCCCTCCGTATATTCAACTGGATATTCGTGGCATCGCTCGACGCCACCTCCGGCTCGGTCATCAGAAACGCAGACCGAATCCGGCCTTCCAGCAGCGGCGTCAACCATTGCTGCTTCTGCGCCTCATTGCCGTACTTGGCCAGGACCTCCATGTTGCCCGTGTCCGGGGCGGCGTTGTTCGTTGCCTGAGTTTGGTGGCTGGGTTAGCAGCTTGGCCTTGGCCATAAATCACTCTCTCCAACTCTTGATGCACGAGAAACAAATCCCCATCCATCAATCCCACTCAGCCCCAACCTCACCCCTAAAGCAACTCCACCCAAAAGAAAAGAGGGACCTACCTCGGAAGCAATCAGACTCTTCCCCAAATACTCGGCCATGAGCCCGTACTCCAGATTCGAGAAGCCGGCGCCCTGGGCGAAGTGGTTCTTGGGCAGGAACATGTTCCACAGGCCGAGCTGCTGGGCGCGGGCCTTCAGGGTCTCCATGACGGCCGGGTGGGTGGTCCATCGCTGCTCGCCCTGGCCCAGTTGGGCCTGGAAGACGGCCTCGGCGGGGATGCAATCCTTCTCGACGAATTCTTCGACCTGTTTGTGGTGTGTTAGCAGTCTGAGGTTGAGCTGGGGGAGGATGGGGGGCCTTGGGGATATACCAGGTCCAGGGTCTTCTTGGCGCGGTCGCTGACGAAAGGGAGGGCGATGGGGGGGATGCGTGTGGAGGCGGGCATTGTTGATGGCGTGGTTCTTCTCTGGAGTTTGCTCTGGAGTTTGGGTGAGTGGTTCTTTGGTTAGGTTAGTAGGAAGAGTGAAGAATGAGGGGACAAGAGGAATGGACTTGGAATTAAAAGAAAGGAAGCGTGTGGATCAGACGATGGAGTGGAACTAGTAGTTATTAGAAGAAGGGTTGGAAATGCGGAGAGCGACAGAAAGCGGAGAAGATGCCGATCGGGACCTCGGCTGATTTGGTGGATTTGGTGGTGGTCATCCTACTATGGCTACTATGGCATAGTTACTGTACCCGAACTACACTCCATCATGGACATCATATCATAAAAACCCATTGAAAAGTAGCATATCAGCAAACCATTGAATTAAAAAAAAAAAAAGAAGAAGAAGTCATCATGATAATAAAGAATCCCCTCAGCTCCAAAGTCCAACCAACCCAACCCCAGAGAGTCATGTCCATGCCCGTCCGTAATCTTCCCAAATCCAACCTCGGTTGATTTTCCCCCCAGTTTTAAACCCTCCATGATTGAAGTTTCATCAACAAAAAACAAAAAACAAAAAACAATTTCATCCCAAGCATGACAAACAATCCCGAACGTGAAGGAAAAAAAAACGAAGGTTACCAGAGCCATCCAGCAAAGGGGCTAGACGACAACCAGGTCAAAATAAGAAAAAAATAAAGGTAAAAAAGGAAAGGAAAATCTCTTCTCCGGCGACCCGCGCGAGAGAGAGAACAAGACACAAAAGAGAGGTCTCTACCCCATAAACATCAACATCCTCTTATGGTGGGGCAGTGGTAGTCTTAGACCGCGCTCTCGGTATTCTCCTTCTCCCGCTGAGCCTCGGCCGCCGCCGACTGTTCGAAGTTCTTCTTCCCCAGCTTGGCGAACAATGATTGGGGCTTGCCGGCACTGAATGGATGGAAGGATCTCGCTGTTAGTCTTGAGTTCATCCTCCCAAAATAGCTGAGGGATCTGGCACAGCAAAAGAGACAGATCACAGAGAAACATACTTCTTGAAACGCTTGCCCTTCAGGTCGCTCAGCTTCTTCGAGCAAGGGCTCATGAGTTCGTCCGAGGGCGACACGTAGCTGGCTTGGTTACTGCACGCGTTCCCTCGTTAGTGACATGTTCAATCACACAGCAAATCAACCCGGGGCAGATTTTGTAGTGTACATACCTTTCTCCGCTGGCCAACTTGCCCTGCAGCTTCTGGCGGTGGTAATCCATCGAGTTCATCGGCCTGCCGGTCTCCTCGGCAGTGCCCAAGTGCGTGTTGGTGGAGCGGTCGGTCAAGGGTTGAGCGTCCATGGCGGTGATGGTGGGTGTGTGTTGTGGAGGAAGTGGGTTAGGAGAGATCTGGGTTGTCTGATAAACGCGTTGGAGAGGAAGTTCTTCAAGTGGTGGTGGAGTGGAGGCAGAGAAAGGCAGAGAAGGCAGAGAAGGCAGAAAGAGAGAGGCTCAAAAGGATAAGCAGCGGCCGGCCAGCGGGAAAAAAACCGTGTCGATTGTTGGCATGGCAACCACCACAATGAGATCATTTTCCAGCATTACTTCATTCATTCACGCACGCATTCAAGCCATCCTTGATCGTCATCCTCTCTGAGCAAATTAGAATTAAAATACACGGTGCTATACGTGGTCTAGTCATCATCGTGCCGTGTCCTGATATACATATGCAAATATACAAACAACCTAATCCACGCCGGCCCAATAAACAGACAGATCCAGACGCACAAACAGAAAAGACAAAGGATGAAGTTGACCTGGAAACACGCAGGGACAGACAATCAGAAATGCCGATAAGCTTCCTCGGCCACCTATCATATCCCTGCGCTTCTATTTGCCACTGTTCTACCCCAAGCCAGGCATTCATCGCCCTGGCGAGTCATCGACGATTTCCACGGGAGACGCTTCGGATCCAGGGTTGGTGCTCCCCTCACGCGGGAGATCAGGTGGGCTGCTACGCGATCGCTGCACCGGTGGAACCACCTCCGGCAATTCCAGGGTACTCCCTCTTCGCTGTTCCGGATCCTCATCTTCGGCCGAACTCAGCGCATCGGAAACGGGCGTGGGCGGCGAGTACGCCAGCGTTGGGCTGAGAAGCTCGTCCTGCGAGTCTTCGGACAGGTTCCGTCGATGGCCGCCGGTGCGTCGGCAAGAAGACGTCGCACGCGTTGACGTCGGGCTCACCATCGGAGAGCCGTACGGAGGGGACGGCGACGAGGACGAGCGCAGACTGTACGACCGCGTGACCATGTTCTGCACACGAGGAATCTCAATGTACCCACTCGCGGTGCCCCGCGCAAAGAGTACCAGCCCAAAGCAGAAGAGAATCATCATGCTCTGGATAACCGCCACGCGTTTCTGGAACACCAGCTCGTCCGCCAGCACGCCCAGCTGCGAACTGAGCGAATGGATTTCTTGGTGATACTGAATGCGCTGATGCTCAAACTCCAACGCCACGCTCTTCCATACCTGATCGTATTGCTCTCGAACCTGCTTCAGCTCATTCAACACTGTCACATTCAAGCCCTCCAGAAATGTCGACGTCTTCGTCAGCTGCCGCTTCTCGACCTTATCAAAGGCGTCGCGCAGGATGCGTGATTGTTCTTCGATGTACTGAAGCGAGAGACTGGAGTTGGACTCTAGCATCTGAAGTCGTTTGTGCACTGACTTGAAAAAGGACTCTTGCGTAGTTGGGTTTGCCGACGGTGGCTGGGTCATACTCGACCTAGTCGGTTCCGCTATACTGCTGGGTTCATCCTTTGGTAGCACAGTAGACTTGTTGTCCGCTTCCGTTACGACGTTAGGGGATGCAGTCTCGGAGTTCGCAACAGTCATTGAGGATGATGATGAGTCCGTTGTAGTTGATCCCGCCGCACTCGTCACCTTTTGTTCTCCTAGCTCTCCGGACAAAGCTTCCTTGCCTTTTCCCGAAGCCACAGTATCCTGCGCCTGAGATGGAGACGCTTCGTTTGACACAGATCGGTAGGGCTGGGGCTGGGCTTCCACTTCAGGTCCAGCACTAGTCGCTGGTGCTTCTTGGTCGTCACAGGTATCAAGAAGCCCCAGAAGCTCACGCAGCTCTGGCACATCCATGTCCGACCCAGACTGGCGACAAGCCTCATCTTCTGAGACGCCGGTCGACACCGTGTCGACCGGCTCAGCAGTCGCTGGAGTAGGCGCTTCCTCAGCCGTAGCTGTAGCCTCGGAATCCGGCGCCATAGGAGCCGGCACCGTTGATTCTTCGGGTATCTCCTCCTCATCATCATCTGCGGGACTAGCCTCCCCATCATGCTTGTATTCCTCCAACATCGTGGTTCCATGGATACGAATCAAGCTCAACGGACAGAAGAACTCGTTCCCGTAGTGCGTGAGAAACTCAATCTTCACATACCGCGCCCAGATGAGCGGATTTTCGACCGCAAATGCCTGCACCTCCCGCGTATTGCGGGCCTCGTAGACCCCCAACTCGCGCCACTGGTCCAATTTGGCGGGGTATCGGTCCGAGACGCTGACCCGGAACGTGTGGAAGATGGAGCTGAAGAACTCGTAGTTGGCGAGCACGACGGTGTCCACCAGGATGTCGTCGCACAGCTCCAGGATCAGGAATTTGTTCTTCGCCCGGCACTCATTCAGCATGTAGCTGTCCTTGTTCTCAATGAGCACGGACGACGACCCGCTGCACTCCGGGTTTGTCTTGAGCACCGTCGCCGCGCAGTCAAAGGACGCGTAGTTGAACCGTTCTTTGCAGGTCGTCCCCGCGTCCTTGGACCGAGACACCCCGGCCTGGGGCATGCCCTGCGCCGGTCCACCATCAGCGCCGGCCTCGTGTCCGGCCCCCGGTATCCGCTCGCCTCGCGCCTCGGTGGAGGACGAGACCATCGCAGTCCACGCCGTGGGCCGCGTAGCCTCGGGCGTCGTATCTGCGCCGAAGCCCCCAAAATCCAGCTCAATCTCCGCATCGTCGCCTAGCGAGTCCAGCGCATTGTTGATCCCCGTGGGCCGTCGCCGGTCCTCCTTGCCCTGGGCCACGCCACCACGGCGACTCCCGCCCACATTCTCCGCGGACTGTCCCACCTTAGCCAAATTCTGCTTCTTCCAGTCTTCGAAGGACAGGAACTTCGCATTGTCGAGCGGAGAATCCGTGTCGAGCTCCTGGTCGGACCGGTGCTGCTGCTGCTGCTGCTGCTGCTGTTGTTGTTGTTGCTCGTCCGCCGAGGTGGGACTCGTGGCCGCCTCATGACTCGAAGAGGACGCCGACACGGTCACCGATGCGGCCTCTGCTGCCACCGAGGGCGTCAGGGAAAGGATATAAGTCGCGGCATCGACCTCGGAGCGCTGAAGTCCCCATCGTGTCTCGATGCAGACAGGCCACTGGATCAGCTGGGCGCCGAGTTTCAGGGTATCGGGCGTGGGGCAGATTGATGGAGGTTGATTGGCGGCGACCCCGTCAATCCAGGTCGAGATTAGAGTCATCCAGGGAATCCATTGTGTTGCCGTCCACCCGGCCATTTTTGGGAGGCAGATTTCCCTTCAACGCCCAAGGGGTTGCCACTCGGGGATGGATGTCTTGAGTTGAAATTTGATTTTGTGTCTCGCAGCGCCGGGAAGGGCGATTGTGCGGAGTTGTTAATCGCAGTACCTAGCAGAGTAGCTTAGTGTCTCTCCGCACCTCAACTAGAAAGAAAAATGGGTTGACCGCCACACAGGCGCGCGCATTTTCTGTGGAGTCCGACGAAGAGATCACGTTTGTTTGTGATTCAGTGTACAAGTACTTTCGGGATTTTTCTGGGTTGGGCGAAGGAAAGGAAATGCAAGGATACAACAAGCACCCTTTGTTGACCTTCCCCAGCCTCTTGTCTCTCTCTCTTTCTCCCTGTCCTGTCAGCGAAGAAGAGAAACACTCCGGCAAATGACACGTTCTGCCAGAACTGAAAGAGGGGACTCCGCAGTGGAGACGACTTCAGCTTGGCTCACCGTCAGTCCACTCAGTCACTGGAAGAGGAGAAGAAGAACAGGAAGATTAATCTTGGAGGCCAGACTGGCCGAAATTACGGAGTAGGTAAGTATGCGTCAAAAACACTCGACTCGACTCGTAGTCAATGATTCGATCGTCATCGCCCACCTGTTTTGCATTTCTCCGCTTTTTCCACCGCCTGCCACTTCAGGGAGCTCGGATCCAGACCCCGGCGGGAGTGGCCACCCCGCCACTGGGCATGCCCTGGTCCCTGAACATGCATGCATACATACAGTAACTAGTCATCATTATTAGTGAACAATGCTCCACGACCAGGCAAGAAAGGTCTCTTCATGCTATCCGCAGCTACGCACCTAAAATATGGCTGAAACACAGCTCCGGAGGCTGGCGGAACTGGGCGAGATGGCCAGCTGCTATTGGTTCGGTGTGGTTGTATACGGAGTGTACAGTAAGTACCCGACAGCACTGACTGCACAGTACATGAGCCCTGTAGCTACTAGCATCATCTACGCATTCTCCCCTCTTGCGAGAATCCCCTCACTATGCCTGCTTGTTTGGACGTCAATATACATGAGTCATTTTTTCTCTCTCTATATCATGATGCGTCAGAACGCATGAAGCCATCTCTCCCCATGGAACAGTGAAAACAGAGAGCCCAGGCTCCAGAATATCACCAGACAAAGATATAAGAAGGCCCATCAGTTCACCTCACTTTCTCGACAGAGGGATCATCAACACTCAAAACAGTGAACTACCCAGAGGCAACCGAATACAAAACAGGCACCCTAACTCTAGACCCCAATTTGCTTCACAATGTCAGACCGCAAGGTGAGTATCATGCCAATGATCTCTATCCCCGGAGTATTCCAACGGCAACTGAACCCGAAACAACAAAAAAGAGAGTCTATTACACCTGGAAGACCATCGAAGCCTGGGAAAGTAATGATAAGCAAGCGACAGAGTAAGGATTCCCGCTTTCCCGTGGGGATCCCTGATCATGTTAACCCGGTCAACCTAGGATAATCAAGGCGGACACGAAGCAAGATGTATGGATCTGCAATAGAGCCCTGCCTCCCACCTGTTATCCCCCGTATGTGGTCCTAGAAATTGTGCCATGGTTTCTGGAAAGAGGACAGGATTCTAACTCTCATCTGCTGATCAGGCCTATGACGACCGAAGGAATCGACAAATTGAAGGCGCTGGACGATATAGTTGTTCAAGAGATCGAGGAAGAGTAGGCGCCGGCCGTACCTAGATCAGACCACTGCGCTCAGCCATACTCAAAGTGGACAAGGATATGTACTCTGTGGATTTATTTTATCACTGGCATGATTGGAATACTCAGTCTGCACTTATCAATGATGGCCCAACCTTGATCTAGTTCGTTTCATCTTCGTAGAACACGTTAGCAGCTCGAGGAACTACATGCTGCGCGACGCTGGGTCACTGAGATATTTCTCATTTCTACAAGCGTGTATCTACGGCGGCGCCTCTACGATGTTGGGAGAGAGAATGTCTTCGAATACTAGAATCACTTTTGATTCCTGTCGCATTGTTGCTTGTCGAACCGCCTCATCACCACTAGCTACTCAACTGTTCCGGCTAATTACATGTAGTACACAGATGTCCCAGTCCAGTCCAACAGCCTGTTCCAGGGAAGATAGAGCCGACCAAAGAAAGAATGGATGAAAGAACGACTGTTCGTCTTGTTCATTGCTTTTTTCATGTGTAAGAACCGGGTAAAGGAAATAGCGCCACGGCCTGCTGCACGCCATCGTCGTCCTGCGTCGTCGTCCAACGAACCCCCAAGCATTGAACCTTTTGTTTTTTTCTTAAAAAAGAGAAACATAGAATTTTTGAGCAAGGGGGAAGGGAAAGAAGAGTGAATAAAAACAACTCAAACACTCCAGTAAGAGGAGAATCCCTCCAGTTATCAGTTGATGAGTCACTTTTGACCTGCTCGTCACCGCCACTGCTGACTCCGTCGAATAGTGTCATATTATACAGAATAGGAAACAGAAAACACTGACAGATAGATGGGCACGGAGGCCACATACATTCTATAGGGTAAGAAGAGTGAAGAGAATATAGGTTTTGAATGTGAATATAAGGTCGCCGGGCGCCAAAATGCTGGCCTTGGCGACCGCATGGAGAAATGCATCGGAGCAAGAGTGGAAAGGGCGAAAGCGAAAACAAGTCGGAGTATTGGTTGGAATGTTTATTTATTATTGTGTTGCTCTTCTCAGCGACATTGGACGGTACAATAGAATGGAGAGGAACGTCGGACGCCGGCACCAGAGGTGGGGCTAAGCTCCTTACAGATGAAGGTCGTGCCAGCCGCCGACAAGATCGAGGTCCTCGTCGACGCTGCCATCGTAGTGGTTCGCAGCCTTGCTATGGGCGGCCTTGGGAGACTCCCAGGCGTCGCGACGCCGCCCCTTCTCCTGGAAGGGACGACGCCGCCGCTCCCGATCCGGAGGAGAGAACGTCTCTTTCTTGGCCCAAGAACCATAGTCGAAGCCCGAGGACCCTAAGCCCCAATCTTTCCTCCAACTCATATTGCTAGAAAACTTCTTTCCGGAAGAGGTCTCTGGGGACTTGAAGTTCCTCCGACGGTCACCAAGGGCTGACCATTTGTCGAGGCTTGACTTCTGCGGGGAGCTGTCGGGGGACTGAGGTGGGGTTTTGATAGCAGTGATTCCCGCCCTCGGATCCCACGACTTGGAGACAAACTTCTCGGTGTCTTCGTGCGATGTCTCCAGCTGTTGGGCGCGGACGTTGAGGAGAGAATTGCTAACAACTTCGTGCAGGCCAGTCAGGGGTCCACGAAGCTCAGGCGTGCTGCTTTCATGACTCCAGCTGCGTGAGTTCTGCTCGCGACGCTGCTGGTAAGCCAGGTCCTCAGCTTCAGATTCTTCCTCCTCATCCCAAAGATCGCTCCAGCTCTTGGAGATCTGTTCCTCCTTCTTCTTGCCAAAGACCATGGAAAGAGAAGGCAGGGGCTTCGTAGCATTGCTTGGCAAAGAGCCGGTAATAGGGACGGGATCGGAAGGAGGTGGAAATCGAACCTCGTTCTTGCGAAACGGAGGAGACCGTAAAGATTCGCCCATAGCAGACTCCAGAACGGAAGCCATGGATGGGGTACCCTGGTGGACAGAGAACCACGAAGTGCCAGCAATTTCCGAGGGAGGGAAAAGGTCTTCGGTGTAGCTCTCGTTGTCGGGAATGGCGGAGAGCTGGCGGAAGGTCTGGGGAGGGCTGGCTTGAAGAGCTTTGGCCCAAGGGAAGGAGTCGCCCTGGTTGACGTGAGGGCTCTGGATGGAAGGGGTCCGAAGCGGCTCCCGGTTGGCACTGGCGGCAACCACCTCGCGGTCGTCCGTGCAGAACTCGTCCAGCGCGTCATCATCTGTCGTGAACGTGACAGCACGCAAGATGGCTTCGCGAATGCCAGAAAGGGAACGCTTCGTAGGGTCAATGGCAAGAGCAGTCCTCAGGATTTCGAAGGTATCCTGAGACATGTTGGGGAAGATGTCGAACAACGATTGGCGATCCCGTACGTAGTCTGCGTAGAGGATGTCGGATTCCGTCGGCGTGGCGAAGGGATTCCGTGCGAAGAGAACATTGAGCAGACAGATTCCAATCGCCCAGACGTCGGCTTTGGCGGGGGAATAGCCGACAGTGGAGGGATCGTACTGCTCGGGAGCCATGTAACGATCACTGCCAACGCAGGCCTCGTGGGACCAAGCCTCCCGAGTCGCCAGACCGAAGTCACCCAGCTTCATGGAGCCATCCTGCATCAAGAAGATGTTCTCAGGCTTGATGTCACGGTGGTATAGGCCGTTCGCGTGCATGAACTCCACTGCGCTGACAAGTTGCAACATGAAGTCGCGCACGTGTTCGGTTTCCAAGGGACCACGGTTGAGCCGGATTGCTTCGTACAGGTCACCATTCGAGCAATACTCCAAAACGAGATACATATGGGCATCTGTTTCGAAGGAATGGATGAGGTTGACGATGTTGGGATGAAACCTGAGACGTCTGTGGCATTCCAGCTCCTCGGCACGGGCATCATACGGGGAGGGGTTCGACGGGTCACCCGAGGAGGACTTGGTCATGCATTTGATGGCGACATCTTGGCCAGTCTGCAAGTCCTTTGCCAGGAAGACCATGCCAAAAGATCCATGGTTCAAGGGGGCGACGGTGCGGAACCGTCCGTCCAACAGCTGGCCTTCAACAAAATTGTTCTTGAGGCACTCCATTGTTATGTGTATACTCTAACAGGACGATGTTCTCCCAGAGATAGTCGTCGAGGTAGGATATAGGAACAGGCTCACTTGATCAGAGCGTGTTTGAGGTAGTCGGTTGGCAAGGCTCGAGTTAGAATTAACCTCGAACGATGTGGCTAACAATGAAGTTCAAAGACTATGCCAGCTCAAGTTTCCAAGTAGATCTTGGCCACCCAGATCCAAAAGAGAAGAGTCGGAAGGTGAGAGGGGGGGGGTGGGGAGGAAGAAGAACGAAACGACAAAAGGAACAAGTGAGTTGTCGGCTCAGAATTTATCGTATAAATACCGGAAAGTCAATAGGATATGATGACAAAAGTGAACAAAAAAAGTGGTGAGAATGAGTAGGCGCAAGGCGCAATTCAGAGATACCCTGGGGGGTTTTCGAACGACGATAGGAAATTGGTTGTTAAAGACTGTTATGAGTGCATCGGTATATCGTTTTCACAAATAGGGGCCCACGGCCAAAGGCGAAGATAAGTATGTTGCGAGGAAAGAATGTGATTGAAGTGAATGGCGACGTCCGGCGGTTGGACAGTTGGTCAACAAGGAAATGACGAGGAAGAACGCTGCGTAGATATCGTAAACACCAAGAGTATAACAGACAAGGCTCGTAACAAAGAAAGGCCTTCCAACACCAGGCTGAAGGTCGGGAAAAAAAAAGGTCGTGACTCGAAGGAGAGGGAGCGGTCGAAGACTATCGAGTCATAGAATGACCGATGGATTATATAGTCCTGAGGGTTGAGTAGGAAACTATATAAGGAGACCGAGGCTTTGGACAACTGGTAGGTAAGGTCTTCTGTCCCGTGAGTGGGCAAGCTGAAGAACCGAATACCAGCACCCGGCCAAGGTTGCGCGGCGAACGGATGGACAACAAAGCAGTGTTGACCTCAGAGCGGAGCGACACCCTCACACGTATTGTCTGCAATCGAAACGTAGCAAGGCTTCAAAGGACAGTCTGCTGTAAGGTCGTGGGTCCGAGGAAGCTCTCGACGTGGTTGGCTTGGGAGCACGGATGAGTCACGGGGGGTAGGTGTTGGGAAGGCCAGGCAAAAGACGAGACGCCGAGGGAAAGAGGTTCGATCAAGCTGTTGGCGACGAAACCAGTGCGGGTTGTTCTGAAGTAGAGCAGGTGGAGAAGATCACGACGTTGGTCTAATCAGACGAAGGAACTTGTCAAAGCACTGTATCGTGTCGCAACGATGATGAGCGAAGAGGAGCAGATGGAATAAGAGCTAGTGGGAGCGGTAGGTTGTTGTCGAGGACGGGGTGGCGAGTAGTCGGGAATCGGTAGTCGGTAGTAGATAGGGAGTATCGGGTAGGAAGGTGCAATGGAGCTGAGGAGTGAGGAAGGTGGTCGGATGAGGTTGTAGAAGAGGTTGACAGGAGGAGGCGAAGCGAAGCGTAGTGAAGAGGGAGGTGGTGAAGGGTGGAGGGGAAGGAAGAAGGAAGAAGGTGAAAGGTAGAAGGTAGGAAGGTAGAGTAGGATGAGAGAGAGAAGATGGAGAGATGGAATGCAGATGAATGGGGGAGATGATGACTAGGTAAGTACGGAGAGGTAGGTATGACTGATTGACCCGAGTAGTTAGTTAGTTAGTTGAGAGGTGAGTGACTAACCCAACTAATTGGGGGGAGGTGGGCGGGCGCCCGCGATAGGGATAAGGGGAGGTTTCCGGATGAGATGATAGCACTTCGGGACACCACTAAACCTAATTAGGGACTAGTAGGAGGGGCGAAAGTCCAGAGTCAATAATAATAATGAATGGAAAAATGGGGGGGGATGGAGGTTGAACCCAGTGTGCCTCCCCAAGTCCCAAGTCTCAACTGTGGCCTGCATGAGGGGAGGGAAAGGAAAGTGGAAACTGGGCGAACGAGCGAGAACCTCCTACGTCGTTGTCGTGCCTTGGGTATGGTATGGAACCTACCACAGTACCGATGGGTGGCTCGGCCAGCCA